ACCCCCCCCCTCCTTAAATTAAGCCCCCCCAAAACCTACTTTTCTTGCTTTTGGGGTACGGCGCCGCCTCCTCGCGCCGGTGGAAGCGTCGCTCCCGGGGGGGCTCCTCCTTCTCGTAGCCCCTTTCGGGGGTTTCCTCGGGTTCTGGGGAGGGGGGGACACACCCATTTAAGGGGGGACACACCCCAAAAAAGCCCACCCCCCCACTGAGGTTTTTGGGGACACACTCACCTGCCCCCCCCTTGAGCCTCTTGGCGGCTTTGGTGACGACGGAGTTGGGGTCGGTGGGGGGCAGCCAGGACACCAGGTCGGTCTCCACGTTCCAGTAGTAGGGCAGCCCGCTGCCGGGACGTATAGGATCTATAGGGGGCCTTGCTGGGGCTTGGCACCCCCCCTAGAGCCCCTATAGGTCCTGGGAGGGGGCCCTATAGCCCCTATAGGTCCTGGGAGGAGTCCTTACAGCTCTGGGAGGGGGCCCTATAGCCCCTATAGGTCCTGGGAGGGGGCCCTATAGCCCCTATAGGGCTTGGTAGGAGTCCTTATAGCTTTGGGAGGGGGCCCTATAGCCCCTATAGGGCTTGGTAGGAGTCCTTATAGCTTTGGGAGGGGGCCCTATAGCCCCTATAGGTCCTGGGAGGGGGCCCTCCAGTCCTATAGGGCTTGGTAGGAGTCCTTATAGTTCTAGGAGGGGACCTATAGGTCCTGGGAGGGAGCCCTATAGCCCCTATAGGTCCTGAGAGGGGGACCTATAGCTCCTATAGGGCTTGGTAGGAGTCCTTACAGCTCTGGGAGGGGGCCCTAGAGCCCCTATAGGTCCTGGGAGGGAGCCCTATAGCCCCTATAGGCCCTGGGAGGGAGCCCTATAGCCCCTATAGGTCCTGGGAGGGGGCCCTATAGCTCCTATAGGTCCTGGGAGGGGGCCCTCCAGTCCTATAGGGCTTGGTAGGAGTCCTTACAGCTCTGGGAGGGGGACCTAGAGCCCCTATAGGTCCTGGGAGGGAGCCCTATAGCCCCTATAGGCCCTGGGAGGGAGCCCTATAGCCCCTATAGGTCCTGGGAGGGGGCCCTATAGCTCCTATAGGTCCTGGGAGGGGGCCCTCCAGTCCTATAGGGCTTGGTAGGAGTCCTTACAGCTCTGGGAGGGGGACCTATAGCCCCTATAGGTCCTGGGAAGGAGCCCTATAGCCCCTACACCCCTTGGGAGGGGGCCCTAGAGCCCCTATAGGTCCTGGGAGGGAGCCCTATAGCCCCTATAGGTCCTGGGAGGGGGCCCTATAGCTCCTATAGGTCCTGGGAGGGGGCCCTCCAGTCCTATAGGGCTTGGTAGGAGTCCTTATAGTTCTAGGAGGGGACCTATAGGTCCTGGGAGGGAGCCCTATAGCCCCTATAGGTCCTGAGAGGGGGACCTATAGCTCCTATAGGGCTTGGTAGGAGTCCTTACAGCTCTGGGAGGGGGCCCTAGAGCCCCTATAGGTCCTGGGAGGGAGCCCTATAGCCCCTA